GAAGACAGAAGAGAGAGGAGACCGGGTCTCACGCGTGTATAAAAAATTGACAATAAATTACGAGCCTCACACATTTGTGTCTTGTATGTAAAATTTATGTGAATGAAACACTGCTCATTGGGCAAATTGCTTGAATGCCAAATTTTATTTAGCCATCAACTCAACGTCGTCATCACCTGCAAGAGTTGGTAAAAAAAAAAAAAATAGATACCTACTCGAATTTCAACAATCCTATTGTGCGTAGGCTAGATTCATTTTCCAATAAAATTCAACCTCCTCGATCTAATCTAACATATCGAATACATTATTTTTAAGGGTTGAAAGCACAATTAGAAAGCCAATTAATGTTTCTAATTGAAATTAATTTCAATTAAAAGATGGAGAAAGACTCAAATTTGACGGTTGAAAAGTTTATCATCAAAATTAAGAAATTAAGGGCGATCGGCGATCACCCTCTGAATGATCAAAACAAGGTAAAGCTTGAAGATACCCAAGACTAACTATTGGCCCTTTACTTCTTAAGCGTGAGTCACGGATCAAGAAGGAACCCACTACATACGTTGCTATTGGGCAAACAATTAATCTGATTATACAGATTAATTGATTACAGAATGAAGACAGAAGAGAGAGGAGATCGGGTCTCACGCGTGTATAAAAAATTGACAATAAATTACGAGCATCACACATTTGTGTCTTGTATGTAAAATTTATGTGAATGAAGCACTGCTCATTGGGCAAATTGCTTGAATGCCAAATTTTATTTAGCCATCAACTCAACGTCGTCATCACCTGCAAGAGTTGGTAAATAAATGGATTGGTAGGACCATTGCTAGAGAAGATGGATTTGAACCAAGTTCATAGCCATAAATCTCTATCTACCTTTTGTAGTTTGGTTTATTTATGGAATAAAATGTTGGATAATGGTCACTTTCATAAACGGATTATGACACAATAACGCCTATTGATAATGAGGAATGCTAGAATTAACAATTTTGATATATTTATACATTATAAACTTTTTGATATGTTACACTAATGGATATTACTATCATTTCACACGTGACAATTGCAAATTCGAGTTATGTTACTCGTCATAATTAAGTGTTACATTTTAAATATCGAAGAAGACTAATCTTATTAGAAGCAACCCAAATCATTTTTGTGCTGATTATTATTTGTGGAATTTTACATATAAAATGCCCGTGCAAGATAGAGGTTGATTCGAGCACCTAGATATTAGAATTTGAGTCTGACTATTCGTTTGAACTTTAAACATATTATAAATTTTCTCGTCTGAGCTCTAATACTATATTGAATATATTGTGTATCAATATTTGTAACGACATTATAAATAAAGTACGACGGTGGTCGACAACAAAATATTCAACATTAGGCTATTTTGATTGAAGATTTTATTAAATGTGTAGTCTTAATTAGGTGGCGCCTAATAATACAAAAAAACATTATCACTTTGAAAGTCAATAATCGTTATATCTTATGACTAAAAAACTCCATTTAATTTTATTTAATTAAGAGAGGAGAAAAATATAAAATAAGGAAAAGCTGCATGAGAAAATTAATAAAGAGATTTGGTTAGGCAGATGTGATGATTATTTTCATAGTGATTAGACAAAAAGTTTGAAACGGACCCTATCTACAAACTATAGATATAAAAGCATGTCTGTATAATTAAAAAGTAGAGAATACTTGCACACTTCAAAATCATCAAGTTTGTCAATTAGAAATGCCTTTATATATATATATATATATATATTGAGTAAATGTCTACATTCATTAGTGACAACTAAAGAATCGTCCAGAAGTCTTCTTTTAAGCTTTCACATTTGTATTTTGTTTCTCTCTTTTATTATCTTATCTTATTATCCAAACGAGTTTGAGTAAATGTCTACATTCATTAGTGACAACTTAAGAATGATCCATTAACGACAATTCAAAATTTGACTAGCAAAATTCTAATTCAATATTCTCCGATCAATAACCAGAAAAATGAAAGTAAAAACGTGTAATTTTTATGGACCACCCGTTTATAGTCGACACCTTTTCTTTTTTTTCTTTTTGTCTTTCTCACCTATCTATAGTTCTATATTTTTTTTTAAAATATTGCCATTTAAATGCACATTTCAGAAGCCAGTTTTGACATTGACCTACCGATAATAATTCCTTGAATATGATTAGACAAGAAACGGTCAAAAGTGATGCATAGTTCTTTTCACTGCATTTGAACTTTGATCTATTTTTATAGTATCTAAAGTTTATTATTATGAAATTTATTATATTGGTTGACATCGTCAATCTAAAATCTTTAAAAATCTATACGAGTTTGAGTAAATGTCTACATTCATTAGTGACAACTAAAGAATCGTCCAGAAGTCTTCTTTTAAGCTTTCACATTTGTATTTTGTTTCTCTCTTTTATTATCTTATCTTATTATCCAAACGAGTTTGAGTAAATGTCTACATTCATTAGTGACAACTTAAGAATTATCCATTAACGACGATTTAAAATTTGACTAGCAAAATTCTAATTCAACATTCTCCATCAATAACCAGAAAAATGAAAGTAAAAACGTGTAATTTTTATGGACCACCCGTTTATAGTCGACACCTTTTCTTTTTTTTCTTTTTGTCTTTCTCACCTATCTATAGTTCTATATTTTTTTTAAAATATTGCCATTTAAATGCACATTTCAGAAGCCAGTTTTGACATTGACCTACCGATAATAATTCCTTGAATATGATTAGACAAGAAACGGTCAAAAGTGATGCATAGTTCTTTTCACTGCATTTGAACTTTGATCTATTTTTATAGTATCTAAAGTTTATTATTATGAAATTTATTACATTGGTTGACATCGTCAATCTAAAATCTTTAAAAATTAAGTAAAATTATTGTTTAATTCAAGAAATAGCAAGAGGTCCCCTACTCTTCTTCGGCTCATTCTATTATTTTTCTTTTTTAATAAAATTTAATTTTCTTTTACAAGATATAAAGGAATTATGTTTGGTAATCGTGAAAATATTAAAAGTTTAACGTGATCAAGATCTAAGCAGAGACAAGTAGTTGTAAATACTAATTCATATTTAATAAAACCTAGACATGTAACAAAAACACGTGAAATACTATAAATGAAAAAAATAGTATACTATTACAAGAGATTAATTAGAAATATAAACATAAAAACTCGTTTTCTTTAGTATAATTATTAGTTTATAATTTTATGTCCTCTATTTTGAGAAGACAATTTAGTATTTTGTTTTTATCAGTTTTCTTCTATATTGGACAATAAAACAACCTTTTTTTAAATATATTTTATTTTATGTAAGAGCACATTTTCTAATACTTTCTCCTTATTCTTGGATTATATGTCCAAATTAAAGCTCCATCCACCATGGTACTTTTTTTGCTATGGAGACAAGGTTTTTTTTTTTTTTTTTTGCAAAATTTGATAAAAAATAGATGAATCACGTGGTTAAAAATGAAGTTTCATTACTCGAAAGTTGATCAAATCTAAGCAAAGATTTTTTAAACAATTGAAACTTCAAAGGCCAAATTGTTATTAATCAATTTGTCCCTCTTCCATTTGATATTAGATTCTTTCCTTTGATTTTTCTAGTATATTTGATATATAATATTATTAAGAAAGAGAACATCCCGCGACATAAATTGGTCAATAAGTTATGGACTCTATGAAATATAAAATGAGAATTCATCTTTAGGTAGATTGGAATGCTAAGATAACACAGATCAATGCCAGCGAGTTTAGGCAAAATAAATTCTTCAACAATAAGATTCAATTTCAATAGCATTTCCTTCAATTCGCTCATTTATGTTTTATAAACCTCCCGCATCATCATCACCATCCATGTTATTGATGTTGTTCCTAGTACATTGATCGAAAGCCAGAGGATTGTGAATTTATAAAAACAAAGAATAGAATGAGAAGAAAAGCGAGAGAAGTTGATTGCACAAAACATGAATAACGCGAAGAAATAAGAAATTGCTAGGGTTGCGAGTGGTGCCAAGATAAAAGGCGAGGCCTAGGGGTTGAGGGCTATAATGCTATGGTAAAAGACAATCGAATTGACTAAGAAATATATCTATTTAACACGTGCTAACATGTATATTTTTGTTAATGCATCAAAAATAGAAGGATGAGATACACGTGCAAAAAAGTTACAGATCGGGGACAAATAACAAGTAATAAATCTTCACACGATATTATTATTCATTTATGAAAATAAACACAAATTTTGTAACATGAAAGTCATTAGTAATGTATCATCTTCATGAAGACATAAAATGCACTTTCATCTAAAACTAGAACGGTATACCACTGCAACGACCCACCAATGCCCGTAGGTTTAGACAACATAAATTCCTTGATAGCATTTCATACAATTCGCCCATTTCTATTTAAACACCTTCTTTTTCATCTTCACCATCCATCCATCGAAAGCTATTGACACAGCTTACATTGAGCAAAAAGCAGACATATCATATGCTAAGATAAATAAAGAGTAGAATTAAGAGAAAACAAAAATCAAACCATACCTCATCAGGGTAGTATGGAAGAGAAGTTTAGCTACTAGGGGTGAAAGTAGTGTAGAAGATGGAGGTGAGGTTTAGGAGTCGGGGCTACAACGCAAGGGATGCTGAATGGGGTGGGGTCGGCTATTCACAAAAATGATGACTATTTAACACTTGCTAAACAATTTTTTCACAAATGCATCAAAATGAAAGGTCGAGATAAAGGTGCAAAAGGGATAAAGATTGAGGACCGCAGTAGCAAATTTCTCTAAATAAAATAAAATCTTCAAACTATTCATTTATGGAAAGAAACATAAATACTGTAACATACAGCTGTCTGTAACTGATGAATAATCTAATAAAATAAATGGAATAAATGAATGAATTATAACGTATTTATCATCTCGTCATGTATATATCTATATCTATATACGTGTGTGTATATATAGAGAGAGAGGAAAGAGATGGTCCTTTATGCCCACAACCCAAACCGAAACCTCAGCTCAAAGCCATAGCCTTGATTTGCAGAGAGAATCCGAAGGATTTCTCTTAACGAAACAAGAAAAGAAACACCCATATAAATATGTTTATTTAGAGGAAAATGATTGTTCCATTCAAATAATTCCAATCAAGTCCTCCTTTTCTTTCTTCTTATCCAATATGTAAGTCCTCTGTACCATTGTGATTAATGTTTATAGTTTTTCTTTTCATTTCCTGTTTTATCAATTAGCTGTGATTGTGTTTGTTTAAACACAATTAGTAGATCTATTGTCAATAATTTAATAGTGTTATAGGAAGAACAATGCAAGTTTAAAGCTTTGATTTTGATTTGCTGTATTCAAATAATTTTGATTAGCGCTTGTTATTTGATCTGAATTTAGAGATCTTGAAAATGTTTGCAGCTTTCTTTTTTTTTTTTTTTTGATTTATGTATGTTTAATTTAATCAAAAGTTTTGTTTTTGTGGCGATTTTGAATTTGGGCTGCTCTCATTATTGATGAATTTTATTGTTTGAGGAGGGTTATTGACCAATTAAATCAGGCTATTTATTGAAATATTGGGGTTTTCATTAATTCCCGTTTGATCCGATTAATAAATAGTGTTCACTACGGATTATTGAGCGTTATTGGTGTAAATATTCTTAGTAAAAAAATTCCTTAGTTAAGTTTTCTTTGATAATGGAACATTCACTCTGAAAATGGTGATGATGAATAAGCTGAATGATAGATAGATTAATTTTTTGTTTCTTCACTTTAATAAATAGATAGATTGTTTCATATGCATCTGATGATTCAATTTTTTATTTTTCCCGGGATTTTGGGTTGTTGACTAATGATTCTTAGCTGTGGATTGCAGTCAGCTGTGGAAGAAAGAAGAAATTTGATTGGTTCAAGGCCAAGAAGAGGGTTGAATCCAAAGTATGTTGGATGATCAGCCTAGTTTGAATCCATAGTATGTTGGAAGATCGGCCTAGTTTGGTTCCAAGGGACTATCTAAGGACATGCGAACTAGAAAGCAACTGGCCTTACATGAGTTATAGAGTGGAAAAATTTGATGTTCATCGTGGCAAGCGGCCGTTAGAAACTAATGGAGAGGAAGAAGGTGCTAGAAAGACATCTACGCGCTCTAGCGATCATTTGGATACAGCTCTATCAATTGGTGGGATTCTAATGTTAACTTCTAACCAATCTGGTAATCAGCGGCATGCGGGGGATAATTCTGATTCCAGTTCCCTAATTCCTGCTATTGGTCATGACAACTCCGTTAATTGTCTCAGTTGGTGCTCAAGATCTGATTACGGTGATTATGCATCTTTGAATCGAAGCTTTCGCTCACTTATTAGAAGTGCTGAGCTCTATAAAGTTAGGCGGAAAAATGGTGTGGTTGAGCACTGGGTTTATTTTTCTTGCCAGCTGCCTGAATGGGAAGCCTTTGACCCTAGTCGTCGTCGTTGGATGAGTATACCAAGAATGGATCCCAATCATTTTTTTCTTTCTTCTGATAAGGAATCATTGGCTGTCGGCACCGAGCTCCTTGTTTTTGGGAGGGATTTTATGTCTTATATCATTTATCGATACAGTTTGTTAACAAACTCGTGGTCATCTGGCATGAGCATGAACTCACCAAGGTGTTTGTTTGGTTCCGCCACCCTTGGTGAGATCGCAATATTAGCTGGTGGTTGTGATGCACATGGTAATATCTTCAGTTCTGCAGAGCTCTACAATTCAGAAACGGGAACTTGGAGGACACTCCGAAGTATGAATAAACCAAGGAAGATGTGCTCAGCAGTATTCATGGACGGGAAATTTTATGTAATCGGAGGAATTGGAGGAACTGATACAAAAGTTCTTACATGTGGAGAGGAATATAGTTTGGACACTGAAACTTGGACTGAAATTCCCAACATGTCCCCTGTGAAGACTGGTGCAGCAGGGGAATTTGATGCACAGGCTACATCTGTAGCACCACCTTTGATTGCAGTTGTAAATAATGAATTGTACGCGGCTGATTATGCTGATATGGACGTAAGAAAATATAACAAGGAGAATAGAGTGTGGGTTACCATAGGAAGATTGCCAGAAAGAGCAGCTTCTATGAATGGTTGGGGTTTGGCATTTAGGGCATGTGGAGATAGGCTTATTGTAATTGGGGGGCCTCGGACAGTTGGTGAAGGATACATCGAAGTAAATTCATGGGTTCCGAGTGAAGGTCCGCCACAATGGGATTTGCTTGGCCGAAAGCAATCTGGTAGTAGTTTTGTTTATAACTGCGCAGTGATGGGATGCTGAGAATTTACACGCCGGTGGTCCCATGGGGCACTTAATGGTGTGCCTTGTGCTGATGATGGAAAGTTGTTTCCTGGAGGGGCTCAGGATTCTTGCTCATGGGTAATTTATCCCAACTTTCTTTTGCATTTTTTTCCCTTTTTGAGTGGGAGGAGATAGGAAGAATCATCAAATTTTACTCAAGATTCAATTGAATATTTTCTTCAAGGTAGTCTTGAGTGCATTCTTTAAAGTTAAGCTAATATTTTCTTTTTGAATCGTCATCTCCCGTTCATGCAACATTTGAATTTTCAAAGTTGGGCATCACAAAGGATAGAGAGATTTCCAATAACTTCCAAGTAGGAATTTGTTGGTGGATTTCAGTTAGTGTTTGGTGAAGCTTTCCTTCATAGCTGAAGAATTTACTTTTTTGGTTCGGGTCCTTAATTTCTTGAAATTGTCTTGAAGAAAGAAAATAATATCTTAAACATGTTTACTTGTAATGAATACAATTAGCATTGCACTTGATGGGGGCTATAAATTGATTCTTTCCATCTGGTAAACCTTCGCAATTTTATAGATGTTTTTGTATGATATTGTTCTTTGTTTCTTTCTTATTATAGTGTTTGATAATTTCTTTGCTTAACATGAATTGACATTCTGATTGATTTCATTTATTTATATTTTGGGTTTCAAATAATTTAATGTTTCAGCTTTTCGTCATTTGTATTTTGGAGGTCGAGATAGTATTTTGGAGGTCGAGATAGACCATTCGAAATTATGAATATCTAGATGACAATGCAATAGGCTTCTTTAACATAGTTTTTCTAGAACTCGTCTTCTTTTTTATGGGAACAGTTTTGTCTAACCTAACATCAAACTTGGTAGTACAGTGGAGTTGCCTTTTAATTTCATCAGACACAAAAATCTATAAACCGTAGGGCAATGGTTTACATATTCCCCTATTTGCGTTTTACACATGCTTTCACGTACTCCAGCTTCTTTATCGTTAAATATATCAAGATTGTGGAAGATGATTTTGTTGGGAATCTACTTATACATGCACAGCGAAATTTAAAATTATTTCGATTCCCACCCAATAGATCTCATTGTGTTTGGTTAGGAATTGTGATAAGATTGTACCTTTTCAGATCTGCAATCCTTTTACTTTTCTTTTCGTTCCACAACTTTGATTCGCCACCACAGCTGTCCAATTGTCCAGCCTCCAACGGTGATCCACACAGAGAATATGATTGCAGCCTCTAGGGTTTTCTCTTGTGCTAGCAAGAATAATGAAAACCTTAATAGACCTCAAACCCTAGTTATGTATTTATATAAACCCAAACAGGCTCGGCTCGGCTCGGTCCGGTCCAATAATTAATTAATCCAATTAATTAAATCCGGTCCGTGAATTAATTAATCTAATTAATTAATTCGAAAATATAAATAACAAATCCAATTAATTAATTTATCCAACGATTGTTAAATTAACTAATTGGCAATTTGCAATCTTCCAATTCTCTTTTGTGTGTGACCCATTAGGTTCCCGACCACGATGCCTAACGACGTGAAATATTATTTTGATCTAATCAAAATTGATAAATTAAAATTTAAGTTATTGGATTGGATGAGTGATTAGCATAAAATGTCTATATCATTTGTTTTCGTTGTATAAATTGTTCTTGTTGTTTCAATTTTGACATTTGAGCCCTTAGATTGACCCCTTTTTTCATGAAATATATTCACCGTCCATCTCCTCCACTAAAGTCTCGTAAAATGATGTTTTTAGAGTTTACATGGGCCTTGTCCATCTAGGGGGACGATGTGGTGCTCTCCTATTAGGTGGTTCACATTGCCCCCTATTGGCTAGTTATCTATTTGCCCCCATGGATGGACAGGGCCCAATAATTCTTACACTTATCATTCTCTTTAAGTAAACAAATGGAAAAAACAAAAAAACAAAAAAAAAAAAAAAAAAAAAAAAAAAAAAAAAAAAAAAAAAAAAAAAATTTTTTTTTTTTTTTTTTTTTTTTTTTTTTTTTAGGGTGAAATCTTATCAAAAATGTAAATGATGCCACTTAAAACAATTAAAAAAATGGAAGCATTTAAAAAATAAATAAATAAAAATCCATTTTTTCTCCAAATCCCACCCCTTCCACCACGACCAACCTCTAAACATCATCGCCACCGGTCCTTTACCATCATCTTTAATACTCCCATCACCAAAAAAAAAAAAAAAATGTACTCATCATCTTCATTCACCCCCACCCCAACTTCTTATCCCACTACTACCACCACGCCAGAGTCATAGTCAAGTGAAAAAGAATCACACCCTAAGGAAACTTAAACTTCTCTCCGTATTTTGCACCCTCTGCCTCTTTGATCTTCTAGCAACATCCAGTTAATATCAGAAAGGTTGCAGTGCAAAAAATTTTAGATGATCTCTGTGTAAAACGTACTTGCATGCTTTTAATGAAAATTTAAATTGTAAAACTTATTTGAAATGCCAAAACGAGGTTGAATCACTTGCCTTTTGTTTGCTTGACTTCCACACCATCTTGTACTAGCTTTTTGGTCAAAAACTCGATCACTAAGGAAGGAGTTTGATGTTCACAAATGAAGAACCAACTTTGAGATATTATATTTCCAAAATCAAGCCTTTCCACTCTATACATTTCTTATCCTCTCTCTACTCTTTTCATAATCATGGAGTAATGGAAGTTGCATTGGAGTTATTAATTTCCAAATTCAAAAACTCAACTCCTCCCACTTTTTTCAAGCAATTCGGGTCGGGTCAATTTAGCCCACATTGTCGACCCGTTTTCTTTTAACATCTCCCACTCGTACATAATGGGCTTGACCTAATCTAAAATAGAATATCAATTATATATATCTCAACATCTCCACATTCATATAGATAAATGTATCGTATCACTAGCAAGTTAAATTAAGAGCGTACAATACTATACACCTGTTATGGAAATATTCCAACTCTACTCGAGGAAATACATTTCTCGCTATACCCCAGGCATGTTTTGTAACACCTGTTCGAGTATTTCTGATCCCTAAGAGTGTGTGTGTGTAAGAAAGTATGCATGTTGTATTTGCAATTATGTCGCAAAACTAAAAAGGCTAACACAATTGTCTGGTCGGTGAATACAAGCTGAGGTGTTATATAAAATAGTCTTCATTTCTTACTTAATTTCAAGCCAGTTGCATTCCTAGACATATCCCATCAAATTGAATCAACAGTAATTATTGGCAACATGCTAAAGTAACAAAATCGAAACAAAATTCTGAGAAACAGTCAAAAGTCATAAGGGTATATAAGTGAAGTCAAATGCTCTTTAGAGACTCAAACAATGAAGAAGCAAGGATCAATTCTTTCATTTCTCATTGATCTTAAAGCAAAAGTGATATGAAACACATGTTAGAATATTTTCTCATTTTCTTAGTGTGTATGTCTAATTTTACAAATAAAATATATCGTACAGATCATAGTTAAGATATTCCTCGATATCTAATATGAGTTCTTCTTATATTTATTCTTCTAGATAATCCCAATCGAGAACTCTATCTAGCTATAAAACAGGTCTTATTGATAGCAAAAAATCCATGTTAATTACTTATTGTAATCTCTTCTTAATATCTCATCAAGGCGATCGGATTATGTACACAATATGATCATCATGTCTTATCTTAGCACACCTCAAAGTGTCTGAGGCGATTGTTCATTTGAGTGAATCAATCTCAACTTGATACTTTATGTGTGCATATTCAAAAGTAATTTAAAAACAGAACAAATTATTACTCTTAACATATGAACTCAAAACATTGTTCATGGACTTATATAAAAAGGTTTACATAGTACATAACTCAAATTCTACGCAATTATAGAGATTTAACATGAGTCATAAAAATATTTCTAAGGACAGATTTTGCAAATAAATCAGCTGATGCGTAGAAATATACTGCAAACTTACTTCCTTCTTTCCTATGGTATTTCTTACAAAATTATATTTTATATCAATGTGTTTGGTTCTGCTCTGACAATTGGGATCCTTTGTATATGTAATAATTGTCTGACTATCACGGTAAATCAATATAGGCTCCACATCACCACTAAAGACTCTAAGATGTTGTAAGAATCTCCTTAACCAAATAACTTTTTATACCGCTAAAGTACATGCTATGAATTTTGCTTTCATTGTGGACAAGGAAATGCATTTTTGTTTCTTACTACTCTAAGAAATATCACTATTATTAAGCAAGAACACATATCTCAAAGTTGATTTGCGCTCATCTAAGTCTCAACCCCAATCAACATCCGTATATCCTTTTAAGCACAAACCATTCACTTGATAGCACAAAGAGTAATTAGCAGTACCTTTCAGGTATGTCAATATCCTCTTAATAGCTTTCCAATGCTCTCTTCTAAGATTAGATTAATACCTGCTGGCCAGACCTACGACATAACAAATGTTAGGACGGGTACTCATCATAGCTACATCAAGCTTTCAACCGTACTGGAGTTTGAAACTCTAGACATTTCTTCTTTTTTCCTCAAAAGTTTTAAGACATATACGAAGACTTAGAGTTTTGCATTTTGATACAGGAGTGCCAATGGGATTGCAATTATCCATTTTGAAACATTCAAAAATTTTCTTTATATATGGCTCTTGTGACAGAGCAAGAAGCCTTTTCGAACGATCTCTATGGATTTTAACACCTAATATGTAATTTGCTTTACCCACGTTCTTCATTTCGAAATTTGAGGATAACCATTTC